TGAAAGGTAAAGACAGATTAGACTAAAGAGGAGGTGACAACTAGGAGCTTTGAAAGGGAAGTACCAGGGTGGAGGGAGCACTGATCTGTTACATATTTTCATTAATTGTTGTGGTTTTTTTTTCAAAATTCTGGAGTTATGCAATGAAATCTCCTACCGAAACCAAGCTCAAAGATAATATTAAAGTGAGGAGGCTTTGAACACAGAAATAATGAGATGACCTAGAAGGCTGAGGTAAGAGAAGTTCAGCATTCAGAAAACACTCAGGCATTTGTGGTTCTGCAGTGGCTGATCATGTGCCCAAAGCGGCGTGGGAGAGGTGGCCTTGGGTGGCAATCAGAGCGAGATGTGACAGACTGCTTTCTGCAGACGTCAGGTGGATGGTGGGCAGCTGAACCAGCCCACTGCTCCTCTGAGCGTGGCACAGCAGACTGGCTGGCTAAGTCAAGTACATGCCATGTGCCAGACAACCAGCACAACAGTACCTCAGAGCAGGTGCAACCAGGACATCACCAAATTGCAGCTTTCCAAAAAACTCCATAGATTATAGCAGAACAGATTTTCCCAGCAGAATGAGGAAGATATTAGTGCTACCGTTCAGGGCACGTTTCACTCTAAATACTCCAAACTTCAGGACTGAGGCCTCCAGTTCAAGAAAGATGAAGTCAAACAGCAATTAATGAGGAAAATTAGCTATGAGGATCTTTATGGAATGGAAAGCCTGTACCTAAGGACTGGCAAAAAGAGATACAGATACATCAGAGATTTAACCTAAGAGAGAGGAAAGACTATACAAGATGAGAAAAAAACATACATAAACTGGCCAAACATAAACTAGATACTCGAAATAGTTCCTAGTTTTTACAATGGCGAGATTCTGGGATATCTTTTCCAGTTAGAGCAAGAGGAGCAAAAAGCCTAAACGACTTATAAGATAAGGCTTAACATATTTTGAAAATCATGATACCACATCCTACCAGTGGAATCTGGACCTTCTCACTCAGGCTGTTCTTTCCAGTCCTGTGCTCACGTGCACCTACACAGACTCAGGCAAACACCCCTAGCAGAAGCAAGTCAGTCTGGTGGAACACCACGTGTTGCACTTCAAAACCATATTGGATTTGCTGACAGGCTTCAGGGTAAGAAAAAAATATTCTTTCCTAAATTGCACTCCTTAGAGCAATTCATTTCCATACTGATGACTCTTCTGACACAGCACAGTGCCCCAGAGCATAAATCCCCCTCCCAGAGCTGTTCACCATTTCTTAAAAGGACGTGATACCTAGACAGCCTTAACCAGAGAGTCATGCACTCCCAAGTCACACATCCCTACCAGTCACTTGCCATCCTCTTCAATCACTCCACTCCTTATTTTTTTTAATGTTGACAACAGCAGCATTGTATTTCTGATGCTTTATGTGATTTCCCCTGCCAGGTACTGGTTATTTTTGCATTCAACTCTCTGTTACCCTAATACCAATGTTTCTCTGGGCCGTTTACCCTAATGCAGATTGTCGCAAAGACAATCTTGTGCTGTTGTGGGATGTCACAACAATGCAGATTTAGTGGCTCGTTCTTGAGACAGGGACCTTTGGAAACCTGGACGTTTACTGGTCCTCCATTGGGCACTGTTGCTGCTCAGTTAGAGCAACACCATTTAATATTTTACTCAAGAATAAGCTAAAAGGATAATTTCATTCGTACCTGTTTTCTTAGTGGAGAGCTGCCAGGTATCATGGTAGTTCACCATCACATATCCTGAGCCTGCCTCTCCTCAGCACAGCGCAGAAGCGCGGTGACTTACTGACAGGCATTTCACAGCCAGCAGAAGGGATGGAAAATACAGAGGCTGTGGAGCCTGCGATGCTCAGACCTACTCTCAAGCCTGGTTTTCACTTCTACGGTGCAGAATAGATTGCCTGTGGGAAATACAGACAAAAATATCCAAAGTCATTAGTTATTCAAGGTCTTGGGCCCAACGGAGACAGCATTATAACATGCACAGTTTTTTTTCAATTTCAAACTAAGTGTCTATTAAGGAAAAAGTATCTTTAAGCACTTCTTTACTGGGGAGAAATGTCACTAACAGTTCTCTACTCCTCATCCCTGTGCTAAGTGTGGACAGCTTTCTTTTCTCACTCTTCTTTATGCATCTTCTCCTTTCTGCTAAGAAAATGCCAGAAAGTTTACCTGATCCAGGCAAAGAACAAGTGCAGGAACTCTCATTAGTACTTATATGATTTTATTTAGTATAGGAAATAATTCACCATAAATTATCTTGGAGTTGTGTTCAAGCATTGGTTTTCACAAATAAAAAATGAAGAAAAGTCTTGTCGACTGACACATACTCACATCCATTTAAAATTATTCATTTGGGGTTTTTTTAAGCAGCGTAGGCTGAAGTTCTTTTGTGAAACTACTACATAAAACCAGAAGCATTCCTGCCCGCTTGCATACATTATCACTCTCCATTAACAGAAGTGGTGTATTACAATCAGTCCTACTAGCACTCAGGAATCACTTGCATTCCATTATTAAAATTAATTATCGAAGTTTCAAGATAAGGGAGCTAACTCACCAGCTTCCTGCTACTATTCCACCCCCACCTTTCTGGGTGTATGTTGGATTTTTCAATCTTTTAATCTCTTGTACTCATGAACGGAGTCAAAACGGAAAACAATTTTCAAAAAAAGTCCTCAACAAATTAACGCCCCATACTTAGAGAACAAGGACATACAATTCAGAGTAGGAAATGTTTCTGAAGTCACTCTGTCTCATGGCTAAGTCAAGACTAAAAGGAGCCTTAAACTTCATTCTTCTCACTCACGTTGCCCAAACAAATGCAGGTAGTTCAGTTTATGAACTGCTCCGTATGAATCATTCCTGTGAATGTAACACCTCACAGTTGTGAAGGCACCATTACTATATAAAGATGATTTAACAATTGCTAAGAATTAACACCATAAAACAAAAAATAAAAATCAGGGGAAATACAACTTGTGGAATACTTACATTTCCTTTAGAAATGTAGTTAGGATGAAAACGAATATAAACTTTGCGCATTTCTCTGTTCCACTGGACCCTTTAGCGTCATATATATGAACAGGAAAAGTTCAAACTTATTTCCCATACGCTCTATATCACGTTGCAACTGCAACCCCCCGTGCTCCTCCCGTTTCCCAGGCTCACCAGCACCTTCTGATGTGACCCCGTGGATGCTTTTGTCAGCAACACGGCAATGGGTGCGGAGAGAAACACCACAAAATCAGACAGAGCAGGAAACGTTTTAAGAACAGAGAGGTGTGCTCAGACTCGACCCACAGAGAGCATATCCAAAAACGTGCCTTTGGGAACACCTGATTCCACGGAATACAGGGGACTGTTTTACTCCCTTGCTAGGTGTGCAAACTCTTAATATGGAATGAACACGTGTTACTTCCACTTTATTTTTTAACACACGGAATTTGACACTCCTTTGAGAGCAGTAAGTGAAAAAAAGTGGAAATTCCTTCGCTTGGATCAGGGTTTTAAAAAATAATTAACTTTTTTCTTCTTTTTTCAAAGGCATGAAAAATATCACTTAACACATTTAGGTATCCGATCTTTATGTTAATAGCATTTAAAAAAAACCCCACCAAACAAAGTACACATTCATGCCATTAGCCTGCTGGTTGTAAAGCATGCATGGTTGCAGGCAATCCTTTAAGCAAAGTTATAGATGGAACTGAAGATAAAGTGTAAGGAGACAAGCATCTAAAGCTCAGATGTTTCCAGGCTGTCTGCTGGTGTCCTTTCATTCATTCCATGGTGGACACAAACCACCATCAAACGCCTTCTCATTCCCTTATGTGACATTATTAGAGGAACCTACGATGGCTGACAAATTCAAATGTCAGGGTTCTCTTTCAACCTCAAGATCTGCTCGGCGATGCCTCGGGAGGGAGATCACTGCCACAGATGGGGACTCAAAATAAACATCAAATGCTTGTCTTTACAGGACAAAATAAGTAGGAATCCAAAGAACTTGCAAGCACATCTCACCATTTCTATCAATTACACAATGAAGTACAATATATGGCATTTCTGAACTTCCCACTGAAATGACCAGGTATTCAGCAGAACAACCCCAATCAACCAACTGAATAAAAACAACAAAAAACAACCCCAAAACACCGTAAACAAATTAAAAATACTGTTAACATAAGGTTTTGACCAATGCAGCCATTTTTTAAGTTTATAAATATGAAAGCATCCACAGTCCCCTTAATTACATAGGTATCCCTAAGACTTAATAAAGAAAATGGATTTAGGTCTTCCTACACAAGACAGAAATTTGACCCAAGCCCTGCCTACATAAGTTGACTTTTCAGTCCCACCAATTTCTTTTTTTTTCGGCAATATGTCACTGTCCATATGACATGTCAACTTTGCCTCAAATATAAACAGAAAAAAAGTCTCACAGCTTCTCTACAGTGACATTTATCATTCGTGCTTTTTGCTAGAGCAAAGACTGCTGTTTTCCCTTATTAAATTCAACTGTCCCAGCATTTTCAAAAAAGCACTTTATTGATAACTTCAAGAATAGCCCTGGACCCAGAATTATTAAGTTTGAACCCTTCATCTCTTTCACAACAGACTGGGTAACATATAATAAAAGTATATAACTGACTTATTTCTGAAAACTAGCATGATGGAAAGAGTTGCCCTATTTCTTTACCACCTGCAGTTGACAGGGAATAGCTGATTTCACAATGTCTTGTTTTCCAAACCAGAGCACACTGGTGACGCTGATGCACCTCCCTGCACAAAAGCCTGTCAACTGGTGCCCTCATAAACCCGGTCTGTTTCAAACAGGTACGTCACACCTAAGTTTGGCTTTGCAGAGTCAAAGAGCATTAACCAGACATGCAGATTTCCCCCCAGATGAAGTTATATGCTGTAATATAAACATGCTTAAGCCTACCTCCTACCAAACCATTTAACAATGACAAAAGGGGATCTTTAAACGTTCCTCATGTGTTTATTGTAAGTTACTGAAACAAAATAACGCCGGGAGAGTCATGTTCACCCTCATTGACACTGAAACATTTACTTTTCAACCAACCTCATACCATAACACACTATCACAATCAGCCTCTTCTTCACCAGTGTGATTTAAAAGGATTTATTTTTCAGAGAAAGCAAACCAAAGAACCGTGTCTTAGAAAGACGCATATTACAGCTAAGCAGACTTTGACCCAATTGACACTTACTAGCAATTTGTATACCCCCGAATTTATTTGCACTTCTCTAAAGAAGTGTTTATTTGAAAGGTAATCTAAAAGATTTGCCCATGGTCACAAGGAAATCAACAGCAGTCAAGGACAGAGAATAAATTTAAAGAGCCCCTGCAGTGTTAATTAAAATTATGCGGCTTACATGTAAAATTAAAAAAATTGGAATGTCACACTGCCAAAGCTCTTTCATAAATTTATCAGGGAAAAAAGTTTACAAAATAAATAGTAACACTGAGACTTTAAAATGGTTCAGATTATTCAAGAACAGTAGGAAATTGCAAACCTTGGAAAAAACCACAAGATTTCTTCATCTAAAAGCACCACTGCTAGAAATGTGGCATTTTGAAAAAACAAGCGTTCAGCACTAACAGTGATTAGAACTGCAAAGAGAAGCACTCTGAACAACAGACAGCATTGTCTTATTATTGTCCAGTTCTGCGACCAGCTGCACTAAAATAGAACATTCTCATTTTATATTTATTACATTTCTCTTTCAAAAAAGTATGCTCATAAAACATAAATTTTGGGCCAAAACAGACCTGAGGGCCTGTTAACATTGCTACTTTTTTAAAAAAAGCAAAACAAAATACCTAAATATTGTCTGTTTAATTAAATCTGTATCACAGAATTTAAACAGATAAATGACATGTAGCTTTTTTATTCCTTTACATCTACATACGGGGTTTCAGACCAATTCTTTCAGGTTATCTAAATGGGATGTTTTCCTACTGTACATTATATGAAGTGACAGAGGCAAATACCATTTCTCTACCAAAAATAATCTGCTTCTCACAGACATGGCAAGCCAATTCACAGCCACTTCCACGCCATAGATAAACACAGTTAACTCGTGAGTAGTGTACATGTAAACAGAACCTTCTGAACTAAAACTAGCTTTAAAACAAACCAACCAACCCAAAAACCCAACCAAAACCAAACCAACCAACCCCCACCAAAACCCTCAATACATGGTTTCACGTCATGCCCAAAGCTATATTTGATAGATTTATCTCACTGCATGAATTTAAAGGAAAAAAAAAAAGAAAGAAAAAGCCAAAACGCAGTATTCTGCACGTCTGATTTCTAGTGCCACGATTTCACCATAGGCTGAATTAATCATAAGTTATGGTAATTGTTAGTAGGAGAAATATTAAAGTTCCCTTAATATTTCATTATGCTGCCCATTCGGAAAGTGTCAGTGCCGAAATGGTGATCCAGAACTATGTCTGTGTTAACTTCATATAAAAACCCACCACTTTTACAACCATATTTCAATTTAATTATTGTACACAGGTTAACAAAAACGTATCACAAGTGAAACTAAACACTGGATTTAACAAAAATATTCAGAATGGTACAACACGTGTTCATGTTCTCCAGGAAATAATATTACAAGTGTTCATCTTAAGACAATTCAGCCACACTAGAGACAGAAGTTCTGTTAAAATGCAACTGTGGTCTACTAAGCCACTCATTTTAGCACTACAGAATATTTGAAGTCAGAGTCCTACAGCCAAGGCTTAAAAATCATTTAAGATTCAACCCCCAAAATGTCTTACAGTCAAAATGACAGTATTTAAAAAAAAACACAACAAAATAATCCCGAAACAATTAATTAAAAGGTTGTCGTATATAGTTTTATCCTCTTCATAGCACTCTCTATTCATACAATTGCTCGTATCATTGGTAATAGGGTCTGTACCTGGCTTGATCAGGGTGGTGTGGTCCAGGAAGCGGGGCCTGAGCAGGAGGCCCTTGCATCCTTGGAGGTGGAGGCGGCCCCCTTGGAGCTGGCCATATCCCTGGACTCATTCCCCCAGGCTGTGTGAAAGGGGGACTAAGAGTTCCTTGATCTTCACTGAACTGTGGCAAAGAGTTAGGATTATAGTGATGGGGAGGGGGTGCATTTACATTTACGGGGGGGCCCCCGTGCTGAGGAGGGGGAGGTCCTGGAGGAGGATGATTCATATATGGTGGCATCTGGGCAATTATATGTCCAGGTGGAGGGGTTATTGGAGGAGGAGCAGAGGTCATTGGTGGTGGAGGAGCTTGGCTATATACCATGTGAGGAGTACCTGCTGCCTGGGGAGGATGCTGCAGTGGGTGGCTTATTGGTGGAGGTGGTGGTGGGGGCGGTGCATAATGTTGCTGTGGAGGCATAATATGATGAGGGTGCGATACCACTGGTTGACCCTGGTACTCAGGATGATGGTGAGCAGGTGCGGGGGCTGGCGGAGGTGGTTCTCGAGCACCTGAATTTGAATCATCCTGAATGGGGACAGTTATTAAGTTGCTGTGTTTTCTGGTTGAAATGCGGAAGGTGTCCTGGCTGACTGGGCGAGGTGGCGGCGGAGCCATCGACAGCTCTGCAGGAGGCGCACGGATGTCTTCGTGTGGCTGGTTATAATGCTCGTGTGGCACATGCTGTAAAGGAGGTGGTGGCATCATGATGTGTTGCTTTGGCGGAATGTGGCTCATATGATGTTTCTCTGGTGGCATTATGAAACGCTCAGGGATTTCGGCAGGCGGCGGAGCAATAGGAGGATGTACAGGCTCAATGGGAGGACGAGTAACAGGCTTCCCAGCTCTCATGTGGCGGTGGTTGATGTGAGCTTGTAAGTCCCTCTGCGACAGGTAAGTTCTCTTGCAGCCCTGAACAATGCTACACATGAAGAGAGACCCTCGGACACACTGCTCGATTCGCTGCACAGGTTCATTACAGCTAAACCAGAAGAGAATATCAGTTTACTGTCATCACAGAGAGCTCAATCTGCTTTTTTTTTTTTTTCCTAAAAGTCCACCAGTTTACCATAATTACCCAAATTAGAACTGACAATTTTTTTCCTTTGATGTAGCAATAAAAGAAACATTTAATTGATTTTGAAGTTTATCTAGCTTTTAAGTCTCCAAACACAACTATGAAAGAACATAAAAATTTCATGAGGTAGAAATTTATAAATAGCATCACAAATGCCTTCTGTGCATTAAGACTTACCAAGAATCACTCTAAGTAAATTAAACTTAAGTCATTTATTCCTTTTCAAATTAGACCAATATCAGGTTATCTACACAAATACTTCAACAGCAAAGTAAACACTGTTCTCATACAATCCCAAAATATGGTATAGAAAACTAACCAAGCGGTGTAGTAAAGAATACTCTACTGCCTCTGCTAAATGGACATAAATAAGGACCATGTTAATACAGTATCTGAAATGAGATATTCAGTTATTTTCCTACATTTCCTTTAATAATAAATCTTGAGATAACTTACCCTGGACACATCTTGTCTCCTTTTTTCTCATGTAGTATAGCACAGTCATAGCAGAAAACATGCTTGCAAGGTATCTAGAGACCAAAAAAATTGCTCTGTTAAGACATTGGAAGTAAGAATCTATGTCATTTTGCAAAACACAGTTCCTCCCTCCAGCACACAATTTCTAATAATATAAGCAACTAAGCTACCTATGAGGTGAACAGGCACAGCAGTAGCTGCCAGTTTACAGCATCTTTGCACAGAAACTTCCTAAAAGAGTTTCCCTTGAGTTTGGGGTTTTTGGGGGTAGGTTTGTTTGGGTTTTCTTTCAAGAATTTGCAAAAACATACATACAAAAGTTTAAGTCTTGCAATAATACCAACACCAAACATTTACAGAAGCTGCATATGCAATCTACACTTGTCTTGCTGGCAAGGAAGGCATTTTAAAAACATTGACTGTCATTAAGTCAGATCCTGAAGCCTGTTACATCATGCTTAGGGATTTTGTTACAGTAATTTTAAAGGGATATAAAGGCAAACTGTTTTCTAACTTCACTAAAAGTCTTTTAATTGAGACAAAGAGTGTATTTTTAGAGCTAAGCCGTGTAAGGTCAAAACACACTGAACTTGAAGGTTTTTTTGTTGGTGATGGTGTTTTAATTTTTTTTTTGTTTAACGTTTTTCAAGCTCACTATATTAAATTAGGGAATAAAGTGAAATCAGCCAGACAGCTGGAACTAAAACGCTTCAGCAGTGAAGGCCCCAGTTCCATCCTGATACTCTCCTGCTGTTTATGCAGAGGCCTGCTGAAATCACTAACCTCTAGTACCCTCACAGAGGCACAGTAAAGTCTAATTTAACCTAAAGGAAAACCATGGCTGCATCTTCCACTGATAATTTCACTCACCATGCGTCCATACATTTTGATGGGCAATCCACACTTATCACAGAAATGGACCGGTGTATCATCCTTTTCCCCCAGCAAGTTTATCTGATAGGATAGAGAAGGGGGTGGGACAACAAAACCCAATATCACTAAAGATTCTCATTTCAATTATAACCAACACCCCCCTTATTTCTGAATTAGTTAAGAAGGAAGCAAAAGCACCACAAATGTGAGAAAGCAGAGAATGTATTTCTGGTCAGTCAAAAGTAATGGAAGCACTTTTATTCAAGGTATCTAGCAGGGTTACCTACAGTTTGGTACGATTCACAAAGACTCACAACTTCCCATTCATGACTTTACCTTATAGTCCCAAAAAATGGGTCCAGGGAATCTCCTTTGATTGCCAAACATTTCACCTCCTTTGCATTCGTATCGCTCCTCTTCGTTATAATCAAATTCTTCTGTGGAAAGAACAAAGCGAAGAAAGACGGGAGCCAACCACAACACTCACCTAATTGACACAGGCTGCTATTAAGAGTGTGTGTCACTCTATACTGAAATCATCAAGAAATGTGCAGCACTTCTTAACTGCTGGACCCAAAATACAGGCAAAATAGTAAGACAGCTTGTTTTGGAAACGTACACCATTTAATCCCTATAGTGCAGCAGTACCAGCAAATTTGAGAAAGCTTGCACTTGGACAGAACCTTGGATTCCAAGACTGATTAAAGTCTTGAATGAATAATAACATGCTTGAATATACTAATATTCTTGCTGAATAATAATATGCTTCCCTACTACAGCTCTACTATTTATATTAATTTACCTTCATCACCAGCTTGTGTCTTTGAAGGCATCCTGTTCATATTTCTTGGAGTTCGAGGTGCAGGTTTGGTTTTATTGGTCTGTTTTGAGATAAGCTTTATAGGGATTCTTCTACGAACATCAAGACCACCCAATGATCCTGAACTATTTGTTCCTTGCAAATCATTGTCTATGAAAGAAAAAAAAAGTTTATGTAATTTTTCATCTATGTAATAGTTTCTAAAGAGGCTAAATCTTAACAGAAGAGTTTTAAAAAGATAATTTTTAAAGCTTTTTTTGAGACTCATACAACATATCAAAGTTTAATCATTAAATATCTTCACATACAATTTCTTCTACAAGTCAAGTCACAAAACTGTATTGGGAACAACCATGATTTTAGGAAATCTAGTTCTAAAAGTAAAGCTATTTTAAAAACTTAGCTAGTCTGTCATTTCTCCACACAGGAAAAAAACACCCCAAAACATTAATTGTACAGGTCCTCTCACAGCGTGAATAGTACTGAAGAGTCAATTCTTTGTCCAACCTCGACAACATAGAACTTAGGAGACAAGGTAATTTTTATAATTTTTGTAAATTGTTTATTAAAGTTGAAAGGAAACTAGTTTCCATCTTGACATATCAACATCTTGAATTATCACTTAGAAATTTAGTATAAAGTATCACAAAAATATTGGTACTTAAGAGTATGCAACAGTATCCTTGCTAAACTGAAAAATATTGTTCTCCACTACGTAACAGAATTCTCTTTGACCAGATTTAAATCTGAGTAGCAGGGCAAAAGAAGCAAGAAACAGCCTGCCACATGCATCAGCAGATACAGGCTCCAAGAGCTACTCTAGAGGGGGTGCTGCAACACGCAACACCAACGACGGGGGTACAACTCCCTCAATTTCCAGTGAGTCCACCTTAACCTGCTGAATAACATCTCATTCATAGAAAAATAAAGTTATATCCTTCACGAAACTACCCAGCTCACTTTTATTTTAATTGAAAATGGGACTTTGACAGGTGTTTCAAAGCAGGACATGCTCAGCCTTGAAGGAGTGTGCCACAGCCACCAAAACCAGGAACTGTGACAAAGTTGCAAATTGGGACTGTTCCCTGACAATCACTTTATCTCAAAATCAAGACCCCTCAATTTCCTCTGATAGATTAGATGTATTTATTCCTCTTAGCACCATGGTTGACAGGTTTCATTCTAAAAGGCAATATGCAAAAAGGCAAAAACAATAAGGTTTTTACTTTTGTTTACATGTTGCTTTTGTTTAGGCCTCCTGTTGGTGCAACAGATGACCCAGCAAACACACAACTACAACACCAGGCTTCCCCAGAGACTGCTGGACTAGAACATCAGAGATAATAATGTTAAAGCTGTCTAATTCCTACTTTTTTGGGAAATTGTGTTTTCTATCAGAATACAAAAAATTGCAACACAACAGACCAGAAAAAGTCTCTACAGGACCTCAATCCATTTGCAAATAGGGATAAACAAAACAAATTAAAAACAAAAAGCAAAACCAAACAAAAATACCCCTTGTGTATTAGCTGTCAATAAGAAACAACTAAATTCTGATACTTTTCTTCCATCTACCTTTGCAAGCTAGGAATATTTACATGAGTTAGCTGCTCAACTAATCCAAATGAGCAAGTTTATTAGTCACAAAAGGATAATAAATTCCAGCCTGTGTAAGCAGAACTAGCAGGATTAAGCCCAGGAAAAAAAAAAAAAAAAAAAAAAGAAAATAATACCAAAATTGTTATGACTACTTAGAGAAGCTCTAATTAGAGGTGATGCATCCTCCTGATTTATCAACATCATCACCTTAAGTTTTATTTTTGCACTTAAATCGCTGGGTTTTTTTAATCATAAATACAGTTCAAACACTATAATCTTACATATAAAATTTTATAATGTGATCTTTGCTACGGGGAAGAGAAAAAAAAAACAAAAACAAACAACTTAACAAAAAACCCATGTCCACTCATCTGTTCACTGGACTACACCAGCACACCAACCAGCAAAGTATCAAAGCTACAAAACCAAATTTAAACACAGGAGAAAGTTTCCGCTCCGCAGCACAACCACCCAGCCAGAAAACACGTTATCGCCACCGATCTCGGGAAACGCAGCGGCCAAGGAGCGCCCCTCCGCCACGCTACCGGCTGCATCCACCTGCCGCAGGCCCAGGGGCTCCGGACGCACCGCAACCCGCCCCGGGACGGGAGAGGGGGCTCCGGCGGCGAGGCGTCCCCTCAGGCCGGCGGCTGAGCCCCGCTGGTGGCGGCGGGACGCGGCCGAGCGCCGCCGCGTCAGGCTCCGCCAGCCCCGGCGCTGACGGGAGAGACCAGGCCCCGCCGCGCGGGCCGCGGGGAA